ATGTTGGGACGCTGAATTAATTACAATAATAATAAAGAAGGACTTTCATTTAAAAAAATTAAATTACATATGGCATCTTAGAAACGGTAAACTTGGCAACATTGCAAATATCACCATTGAATCGGGCATTCCCAAAAACCCTCAGGTAGGAAATATTATACATTTTTCTCAAATGCGTTCTGAAATATTAGGCCGTTTCCATACATAACGACAACCCTGTATAACTATAGTTGAACCAAATCCAAGCGGCAGCAATGACATAACTGGTAATTTTCATCACAACTTACCAAATGTCCTCCGTGCATGCGCACTGGTTTTGGTAGGGTGTTTCAACCAATAGGAAGGCTGGATTCCCAGCTGGTATTTGTTACCAATTTAAATTTAGGTTATTTAATGTCATTACTGCCGCTTGGATTTGGGTAAACTATAGGTTAGACCGAGGGTTAGACAATGTTTTAATTTTTGATTTTGGCAAGGAAAGTTGGTAGCACTCTGAAATGTTCTGTATATTTGAACCAAAAAATACCTAGCTAATCTCGGGAAGAAATTCATGAATAAATACTTATTTTTATACATGTAGAAATACACGTAAAAATACACATAATATGTTAAACGTAAAGGGCGGCTCACTCCCGAAATCGCTGTACATTTTCATCCGAAATCCCGTGAAGTCACTTCGAAATCCTTCGGAAATCTCGAAATCAATTTGAAATCGCGAAGAGCGAAATTCTATCCGAAATCCTTACGAATTCTCGAAATCCCAACCAAAATCCTTCATAAATCCCGAAATCCCAATAAATTTAATGAAATCCTCGAAATCCTTAGTGGTACCGTGTTGAAAATCGAATATCCGAAATCTTTCGAAATCCCTTAAAAATTGTCGAAATAGTAAGTGATCCGCCCCTCGGTAAAACGGGCTAAGGAATTATTAACGATATACAGGGTGTCAAAAATACCATGGGCCATCAGTGGTATGGTATATTGTAAACGGTAAGAGATACGAGGACGGTTGAATTAGAAAAAAGTTCCCATTTTCGAAGGTGATTGAAAATATATTTTCGTTGTCGCCAAATTTCTATTAGTTTCCGAGATACAGGATGATTTGTAAAAAAAAACAATTCTAGGTGTTTTTTTCAAATCATCCTGTATCTCAGAAACTAATAGAAATTTGGCAACAACGAAAATAAATTTTTGATAATCTTCGGAATAGTTTGGAAATGGCAACATTTTTTAATTCAACAACCCGCGTATTTCTTACCGTTTCCGATGTACCTACCAATGGTGGCCCATGGTATTTTAGAAACCCTATATAATAAATTATCAGCAGGTTTAGTTCACAAACGGAAACGTTTTATATACAGGGTCAGCCATGTAAAACTCCCTAGTTTTTAATAAACAAGAGCTGTCAATGAAAGTAAACTATCAGCCTCGCCATCAGCAGTGATTTTTGCACACAATTTACACTCAACAATAACAAAGATTATTACATTCACACTACTAACATTGATTCTGATAATACATAAACAGTACCGACAATTCTACATTAGTGACAGGACTAAAAATTGCTTTACAATACAGGTTAAGTATTGCTGTTTCATCCACAGTACCTGACAGTACCAGTTAAATACTTACAATATGTTAACAATACTTGACAATCCCTACAATACCATACAATACCTAGAATAAAGTGACAATACTCAACAATACTCAACTGGAATGGCCAGTTTACAGTAGGTGTACAAATTTCCAATCAGGTGTTGACCCCTCGGTTAGATGGTGCAATTATATCTAATTTAGTTGATTTTCATTGATTTTCAATGGGGTTATTTTTCACTGGAAAAATTAGATATTTTACTATGATACGTCCCTGACTTTCTTCTTTTTTTCTCAGAGAATGTCATAATTTTTCCCTGAATAGTTTTCCAGAAGAAAATAGTTTTCCAGAAAAAAAATAAAATGTTAGATGGTGAATTTAAGCCTAATTTGGTTGATTTTCATTAATTTCCAATAGGGTTACTTCCCATTTAAAAAATTTGAAATTTTAGTATGATACGCCTCTGACTTTTCTTTTTTTTCCAGAAAATGTCATAATTTTCCCCTGAATAGTTTTCCAGAAGAAAAATAAAATATTGGATAGTGCATTTATGCCTAATTTAGTTGATATTCATTAATTTCCAATGGGGTTTATTTTCCACTGGAAAAATTTGAAAATTTACTATGATAAGCCCCTGACTTTCTTCTTTTTTTCCAGAAAATGTCATAATTTTCCCTCGAATAGTTTTCCAGAAAAAAAAATACAATGTTAGATGATGCATTTATGCCTAATTTAGTTGATTTTCATTAATTTTCAATAAGGATATTTTCCATTTGAAAAATTTGAAATTTTACTAATTTTCTACTGAACAGTTTTCCAGAAAAAAAATAAAATGTTAGATGGTGGATTAATATCCAATTTAGTTGATTTTCATTAATTTCCAATGGGGTTATTTTTCACTGGAAAAATTTGAAATTTTACTATGATACGTCCCTGACTTTCCTCTTTTTTTCCAGAAAATGTCATAATTTTTCCCTGAATAGTTTTCAAAAAGAAAATAGTTTTCCAGAAAAAAAAATAAAATGTTAAGATGGCGCATTTATGCCTAATTTAGTTGATTTTCATTAATTTCCAATGGGGTTATTTTTCACTGGAAAAATTTGAAATTTTACTATGATACGTCCCTGACTTTCCTCTTTTTTTCCAGAAAATGTCATAATTTTTCCCTGAATAGTTTTCAAAAAGAAAATAGTTTTCCAGAAAAAAAAATAAAATGTTAAGATGGTGCATTTATGCCTAATTTAGTTGATTTTCATTAATTTCCAATAGAGTTATTTTCCATTTGAAAAATTTGAAATTTTAGTATGATACGCCCCTGACTTTTCTTTTTTTTTTCCAGCAAATTTCATAATTTTCTCCTGGATAGTTTTCCAGAAAAAAAAGTAAAATGTTAAATGGTGCATTTATGTCAATTTAGTTGATTTTCATTAATTTCCAATAGAGTTATTTTCCATTTGATAAATTTGGAATTTCAGTATGATACGCCCCTGACTTTTCTTTTTTTTTTTCAGAAAATTTCACAATTTTCCCCTGGATAGTTTTGCAGAAAAAAAATAAAATGTTAAATGGTGCAATTATGTCTAATTTAGTTGATTTTCATTAATTTCCAATGGAGCTATTTTCCACTGGAAAAATTTGAAATTTTAGTATGATACGCCCCTGACTTTTCTCGTTTAGTCTAGAAAATGTCATAATTTTCCTTTGGATAGTTTTCCAGAAAAAAAAAATATTAAAAGGTGCATTTATGACTAATTTAGTCGATTTTCATTAATTTCCAATAGGTTTATTTTTCATTTGAAAAATTTGAAATTTTAGTATGATACGCCCCTGACTTTTCTCGTTTTGTCCAGAAAATTTCGTTTAATTTCTGTGTGTCCCACCAGGATAGTTGGTGGTCATCTATCTCCAGCAGGATACTATAATTTGAACAAATGTACTATAATTTTATAGCGTTCTATACTATAATAGTTGATTCGCAGTTGCCAACACTGCTAAGACTGAAGAGTTGTAGCTGGAATTTTTTTTGAGTCGATGCTGTATACAGAATTGGAACAGAAAGCCCATGAAACTCTCCTAGTAGAATTGATGATTAATTCCATCGCCAATACAGCCTTCTACAATCTGTGCTACATACAACCCAAAAAAATACTAACAAAAAGGGCATTTTAGAATATAGCTCTATCGTTTTGGATAAGTACCTTTCCTTATTCCTCAAACAATCCTCCTGTAATTCGTCCTCAAACACCTGATCCAATTTCTGCACATCAACCTCCTCTTTTAAGCCATCAATATAAACTTCATTCTCTGTAGAGATGCTATGGATCCGCTCAATCATTTCCTGCTTGAAATTCACCAATTGTTCATAGTAAGTACCTTGACGTTCACACACAACACGTAAACCGTTAACTTCATTTGATAATCGATAATTTTTCTCTTTGAGTATTTGACAGTTGGCTTGCTTCAAATCATCCGCGTAGTATTTATTTTCTTCGGTGAGTTTCTCGATGCTCTGCAGCATGTCATCTTTCAGTTTATGCAATTCTTTGTTCTCAGTTTTGATTTGATTATAATGTTGCTTGATTGTATTGAGTTCGTTGGATGTGTGTTTGTGTTTTCTGGCTCTGTCTTCATACTCTTGTTCGGCTATTAAAACGGATTCTTCGAAATCCTGCTTCCATTGATTGAGGCGTTTTATGTGTGAGTCTTTTTCTTCGTTTTTATCTAGTAAATTTTTAATTTCTTTTCTTAAATCGTTTATAATGGTTTGATGGTTATTTTCAAGTTCCTCGACAAACAATTCTTTTTCTATTAAATCTTCCTTGTACCTCATTAGCCTTTCTGCTAAGCTTTTGCAGGAAACACAAGAGTTTTCTTCGGAAATGACACTTAAACGGTTTGCACAATACGAATCCATTTTTATAACTGACCAAATAATAATTATTTTGAAATTAAAGTGGTCAAATTTTCATAATTAAATAAACAAAGAAACCACGAAGTATTTCTAAAGCTGGCACACACTATGACCGATTGATTATTCTTCATAAAATATTGTAGAGTTTATTTATTCAGGAATCATTGTTATGAGTTCACAAATAAACTTTTGTTGAATGAAATAGTTTTCACTACTTAGTAAAAAAACTATTAATATTAATGGGAACTTGAATTTGCCAAAATGAACTGGATTTTTTCAGTAATTCTGAGCAATGATGCATTAGAAACACAGCAAGCCAAATTGTATTCAATAGGCTCAAATAGAAACAACTAATTTTCCAATTTATTTGTAATAATTCCAAAATAAACTTTGCCTAAATTAGGTAAAATTCCCCAGATATTCATGCGGTAGAAAGCCACATTTCTGTGGTACCTACTAACTAGACACGACCTTATTATAACTTATAATTCTCACCTTTCATGTAACTTTGCATATTCCTTTTTGAGCTCTGTTTCACGTTCTTCTAGTCTGCTAGCATGCTCCATTGAGTTTTTGTGTTTTAGCTCCAGCATTCTTACAATCGATTCCAATGCTTCTAGTCTCGAGGAAAGCTCTTTTCTTTCGCCTTAAATAATTATAACAACACATTGAAAATATTGATTTATTATTAGATAAACTGTTTTATACCTTCTGCTGCATCTTCGTACTCCAACAATTTTTGTTCCGACGTTTTTCTAGCACCTTTTTCTCTTTCGTATTGGGTCACTAGCTGCTCGTTGTCCTCCCTTAGTAATTCTAATTCAACATCTTGCTCCTGAAATTAAAGTTAACTTGATTACTGTCAAAAATTTAGGGCCGTTAAGTGATCAGCAGCCAGTCGACAATTATAGGACCAACATGTGTTCAAACTATACAAAAATGTATTAAGTGTCTGAGGTAATGGAATTTAGTTCTGTAGTTATCATTTGAAAAAGATATGCAAGAAACTAAATTAATAACAGCATTTATGATTATGAAAGTGACAATGAGAAAGACTATTCACTTTTAAAATATCCTAAAGATATTCAAGATTGTTTGGAAAATTTTCAAATATGTATCTAAACAAGATGAATTTGCTGCTGTAACGTCAACTGGAGGCAATAATTTGGATACCTCTTTCTTAGTCTACTTGTAGTAAAGAAAAATGTACAAGATGTGACTGTACTAAAAAGGTTTATTCAATTGGATTTTTAAAATGTGATAATTAAGGTTGCCCATCCTGTTCAAAAATATCTAAGAAAGATATCTGTGAACTGAAGGAAAATGCAAAAAAATGCATTTTTTTGGTTTGTATCAAAAAGAAAAATCTACTAGTCTTAATTATAGAACCAAACTAGTGAAAAAACTAGAGAATATATTGTTATCTATTATTTTAAACCACTATGTGATTTCCGCACCCTGGTCAACCATAGTATCTCTTGACAATGATGAAACACTTTCCACCTCCGTAGGTAATATACTATTACTGACATAAGGGAAATTTGTGATGGAGGAACAATGATAAAATCAAATTCAAGAGAAGAAATACAAAAATCACAGAAGTTAAGTGAAGATAAACTAAAAACAGATTATAATATTCAATTCACCAAAACAATTCACTACTTGGGACCAAAATTTTATAACATTTTGCCTTATCATTTTAAGAATGCAAATACAAAATATTTTTCTAAGCTTGCTAGGACATATATTGCAGAGCATAATGAATTGTTTTCCTCTGTTATATTCTCCTGAACTTCTTACACATGTTCCTACTTTGTTTGCATGCCTGTGCTGAGTGTTTGTTTTTGTTATTATTAATTTAATTTTTTTGTTTGTTTCATTTTGTAATGTATTAAAAAGCTGTATCGATTACCTACTCCACTTAAATTAAAATTATTTATCCACCTTATAGGTTATATTATATTAAAGTTTATTGTCCATACGGATGCTTAGCATCTAGGGACCTTTATTGTAAACATTAGATATATGTTTAAAAAACGTAGTTATGTAAAATTTTTATGTAATCGCATAAATAAAAAAAAAAAAATGTATATCAAAATTGAAACAACCACAGTCCGCAACTAGCAATAATAGGATTTGAATAAGAATATAGCAATGAAGATCTTATAAATTTCAATTATAGTAATAAAGAAGACAAATTACATATGACCTGGCCTGACCGTTTTACGAAAAACAATTTTTTTTAAAAACATATAAGTATTCCATATGTTAAAACCAATGGAAGAACCTTTACAAAGTTAGCTATTAAAAACATATTATGTTTGGGGTAGCAGCGATGCAAAATAAAGAAGACGCTAAATGTTAAATTTCACTAACACAAGTGTTATAAATATGAACATATATTGAAAAATCGTACTTATGAACAAGCTTGTTCATTTTGCAGTTATGCAGTGGCGGCTCGTGACTATTTCAAGTGAGGAGGCTAAGATAAGGTAACCACTGCGCAGCAGACAACATTTGTTTTGGGTTGCTCATGCCCTCAATAATTTATCTCAAATTTAATTTAACAAAAACCATATAAAGAAATTTTATAGGATTTTATCGGATTTTTTTTGTTCTAATTAAATTTTGTTAGATTTTTAAAGATTTTCAGTGATTTTAAGTAGATCTTACGAGTTTTTCTGGAATTTTGATCAACTTGTATACAAATTTTCATCAATTAACCGCTCAAAGTTTAGTTAACTCCTGAAAATGTGTACATAATTGAATCTTTATTGATTTTGTAGGATTTTGAGGATTTTGAAAAAACTTCACGTGATTCTAAAAGATTTTAGATTTATGAGATTTTACGGTGATTTTGGATCATTTTAGGAAATTTAGAAATGGGTTTTTACCAACTAATTTAGGAGAGCCCTAACGATAAATATTCCATGGGAATTCTGCAAAAATTAAGAGAAAATTTTGAAATTTTTTGCATTAAAGAGGAAAGTCAGAGGCTTATTTTCCCAAAATTTCAAATTTTTCTAGTGGAAAATGACAACATGAAGAATCTTGGAAATCAACCTCCAATAAGTCCAATAACTGAATTAATTGACTGAAAAGCTAGTGAGGAAAAAATGTTGAAACTTTCTGCATGTAAGAAAAAAGGTTAAAGACTCATTTTCCCAAAATCTCAAATTTTTCCAGTAAAAAATAAAATTTCGGAAAGATTTCGAAGGATTTTTCACTGTGACAAGATTTCAGAATTAAAGCGATTTTGAAGGATTTCGGGTAATTTCGCAAAGATTTTAATTTGATTTCAGACTGTTACTTATCTTATAAGTATATTTAAAAGCGATTTAAAAGTGTATTAGTATAAACTAAAAAACGGCAGTGTTGGATTTATGAATTTTGAGCCAATGACGAGGGATTTTTGGGTTTACGGAAAAATTCCGGAAAGATTTCGGAGTGATTTCGTGGATTTCGAACAAATTTGTGACACGATTTTGGGAAATGATTAACCCCTCGAAGATTTCATCAAAATTCTTTGGAATTTCACTAAAATTTTAAGTTATTCCATGGAAATTCCGCGAAAATTTTAAGTAATTCCATAGAAATACCTCAACATTTCAAAGATTTTATGGAATGCTTGGACAAATTTTTTTCGGAATTACAGTATAAGATTTCATGAAATTCCTCGGAATTCCACTAAGATTTCAATTTCAAAATTCCATATATTTTTTTTAAATTTTACTAAAATTCCCCAAAATTTTACTACTGAAATCCTGGAACTCCACAAAATTTTCATAAAATTCTTCGGAATTTCATTAACTTCTCATGTAATTTCTTAAAAATTCCTCAGAATAGAATTTACTAAAATTTTATGAGAATATCCACGTTCATAGCCGAAAATTTCTCGAAAGTCCAATAAAACTTCAAGGGATTTTTCAAAATTTAATTTATTATCATAAGAATTTTTCGGAATTTCACTGAAATTCTCTTTTAATTGCCAGGAATTTCTGGGAATATTGATGAAGCTTCAAGTAATTTCTTAAAAATTCACGGAAATATATAGAAATTTCATGTCATCACATGGTAATTTTTTGAAATATCACCGAAATTCCATGTTTTTAGCTGGAAATTCCTCGGCATTACTAAAATTCAGTAAAAACTGAAATTTCATGTTGGGAATTTCGGTGTAATTTCATGTAATTATTTAAAATTCCCCCATGTAATTCATTTAGGATTTCGTGTAATTCAATCGGAATTTCACTGAAATTTCAAATAATTCAAAATGAATTAAAATTTAATATAAATTCTATGGAAATTCCGCAAAAATTTCACATCTAATTTTTTTTTTCAGAATAACATAATTATTTTACTGAAATTCCTGGAAATTCCACTAAATTATGAAATTCTGAGACTTTAATAGATTTTTGAGAATTACAAAAAATATTTGAGAATTTTAAAGGAAATATTTTCCAGATTTCCGATTTTTGATTGGCTCCAAATTATCCGCTGACCAATAGAATTATAGATTGGGGGGCCCCATGATTAAAATAGCTCTAGCCCTTCGGGCTCGCGTATAACTCCGACCCTTCGGGCTCGCATATTACTCCGGTCCTTTAAGCTCATGTATAAGTTTAGCCCTTCGGGCTCGCGTATAACTCTAGCCCTTCGGGCTCGTATTACTCCGGCCCTTCGGGCTCGCAAATAACTCCGGCCCTTCGGGCTCGCAAATAACTCCCTTCTTCGAGCGGTCTTCATTTATGAAAAATTTTCTGTCACTGTTCCCCAGTTTGCAATTTTTTATCGTTAAAATTCCCTACCTTTTCGTGTTTTCAACTATTCTCCCTGTAATTTAATCGTTTTTAAATGCAACAATTATTGGTTTGTCGGATCAGAGGCCAAAAATCTAATTTGATTGCTAATTGCTTTGAGCTGTTAACAACTTTTGCCCATTTAACCATTGCCGTATCTGCTACCGTTTACGGGATGCCAATGATAGACATCCTTATCTTGGACACTCATAAAAAAAGCTAGTTATTAAAAACATTAAACTTGTTTATTTGGTATGGCTGGATTCCATTTTTCATGAGCTTTTCAATGAGTCCCCACATGACATAGGTTTCCATTTAAAAAAAAAGGTTGGGGTAGCTGTTTCCCTCTATATATTTTTTTTTCTTCTGTGACTATACTTATACTTTTTTCCTTTAAGAAAAAAATTTGACTGGTACCTGTTACTTTTTTCCCATGGGAGAAAAAGTGACATTTCCCTGTCAACAAGTACAAAAAGTCTACTTTTTTCCCATCACCGAAAAATAGGTATTTATTATACAAGGGAAAAAAGTACTAGTATAATAAATAACTATTATTTAACTAAAGAATGTGAAAAAGTGAAAATCAGTTAATGTGGTTCAGCATTCTTTGCAAAAATTACTTGCTAAAAACTATGAATTTTATTCCAGACTTTTGGTTAACCCATCCCATGTACATACCTAGTATTAAAAATTTATATTAGATTAGTATGCTTTAATGAAAGCTCGATGAAAAAATTGTATGGGTCTATATTCAATAAAGCTGTTTTTGATTTTATTTGTTATTTTGGTCTAAACTTTACCTACGTATTCGCAAAATCTCATTGAAGGATTTAAAAATTCTAAATGAATGCCATAATCAAATTAATTGACCATACATTTCAAGATATCGTGTTTTATATTTATCATTATTAACAAGATCGGGAAGCAGTTTAATTTCAATAGGGAACCAATATTTTTTAATAAAAATAATATGAAATATAGTAAAAATGTAAAGTATGTATCTCGGAAATAGCACTTAGAATGTTATTGGATTTATCTAAGGCCTGTTGTTTGGACAGAAGTTCACTCATGCAAAAAATGGAGAAATATGGTGTAAGGGGTGATGTAATGAAATGGTTTGTCTGCAACGAAAAATGGGAAGACAGGTATGTCAAAAATTGTATATAATGATGTAGGAATTCCACAAGGGAATATATTTATTAGGCGCAATCCTGTTCAAATTTTTTTTGAACGACCCTGGTTTGGTATGGAATTATTCTAGTCAACATATTATAAAATATGCAGATGACATAAATCTGATTGTCAGTAGCAAAACATTAAGAATTGATAATCAAAACTGAAGAATTTTTTAACATGGTAACGAATTGGTTTTGTGCTAATAAATTAATTCTAAAAGAGAAAAAAACACATATTTTAGATTGTTTAGAACAAAGTAGTCTAAAATACACATGGCATGGATTAAATTTGGGGAAACAGTCTAGATACCAATAAGAACACAAAGTTTTCAGGTATTTACATAAATGCACACCTCGATTAGGCTTGTCATATAATACAGTTAGCTGAGAAGCTGAATTCCATTTATTATGGTACTTATTAGGATAGTTAGTGAATATATGAATGAGGGCTCATTGAAAATATTATACTCTGCCAACTTTGAATGTGTCCTTAAACATAGTATCATCCTCTGGGGAAGGGACAACAGCTCAGGCAGTAGGTTGCAAAATATCTTTGTTGTCCAGAAAAGATTAATATGGGATAATGAAAAAAATGGACTACCTTCAGAACTGTAGATCCGTATTTAAATGCATGGGTGTTATGAATGCTTAATGTTCTTCTTTCACAATAAGCACCTTTTTATAGTGAAATGGAACACAAACATAACACGAGAACATTGGATTTTAAGTACAAGCCACGTAGACTTACTTTAATGGAAAAATCACCCCATTATAAATATGTGTGTCAAATTATTCAATACGTTTCCTAACTAAATACAAAGTCTTAATTCAGGTAAAAAATTTAGAATAGATACCTATCAAGAAATTATTAGTTAACTTGAACCATATTGATTAAGAGATCAGAGATCTATAATAATTTTGTAACAATGTGATCTTTTGACTCTGTTTCATTTCATGTACTCTATGTTATTATTGTATTATGATCTTGAATAAAGAAATTTATTATTATTATTATTAATATTATTATTATTATTACTATCATCATTTCCCTGTAATAGACTCAAGTAAATTGGATGGGAAATAAAATCATAAGTGTAAAGAAATTGGTACCTGATTTTGTTGATAAGCAGCATCCAAACACTCGAGGACATTCACTAAAAGCGGCATCAGAGTTTTAACAACGTCTTCATCATATCTGGCAATCATTCCTTCAAATTCCTGATAAATGCTGCCTGCCAGGGATTGCACTTTTTCAGACATGACCACATGGGAGTCTTCATGAGTTCCATACACAACTTCTGCACCGATGCCCATATTTAAGCTGCCTCCTGATACATCCATTTTAGAGTCGATTTATTAGTTTACCAAGTTAAGCCTGGAATTAAACCAATTCTTTAATTCAAGATTCTTAAAATAGTTGAATTTGTTCAAATATTATTGTTTTAAATTACAAATTAACTGATTAGAAGATTAATTGGGGCAAAGAATTAAGTTCTTATCAAGGTTATCATAATCAGACTGATTTGTTGTTACCTGTGTGTGGGTTTCTTTATTGAAAATTCCTCAGCTGCTGCTAGACTGGAGCCTGCTTTAGCAAATCAACATAACGTGAAGGAAATCTTAACAGTTATCGATTTTTGTTTATCCTAGTTAAACATACTTTACGCATCGTGAATTAACGCTCGTCCGGGGGCCAGGATGTTGATTTTCCGATGAAAAATTCTATTTATTTTCCGCGTATATTTTATTTTGCCTAAATATTTTGTTGTACACCCACTCTTCTCAAAACTGTCAGTGCCAGCTGTCAGTCGATGTCACATTTTTTTTTTTTAAACGTAAATCGATTGTGATCATAGGGCGTCTCTTGCTGTATTATGTGATAAAAAAGGATAGAAAATGATCAGATAAGCTTTGTTTTGGTCGAAATTTTCAACGGTTCTGGGATTGCGCAGAACTGCTTGCGCCCAAAAAAAATATTGGAGGACTGTTCTAATACTAATTTTGAACCGATTCGGAACCAAGAAAACGGAAACAAGCCGCTTATCACAAAATTCTAGAACAGTTCCTCCTTCAGAGCAAGAACTGAGAACTGAGAGAACCGTTCTAGAACAATCACAAAACTGTTCTTATAGTTCTAACCGTGCGTTCGGTATTTTGATCTGAGTTCTTCGAGCAAAAATTTACCGTTAGTTTATTTGACAAGTGTACTCGGTGCAGGCTCATTCACGTTCGTTCATTAAAATTTCGAGCCTTCTGATACAGATTCAACTACTCTGTGCGCTCGCTGGTCACGTGATTACGGCTCCGCTCTGCTCTTTGAGCAAAATACTGAACGCAAGGTAAATAAACCAAAACGCTGTCAACACAGTTCGATTACGGTTCTGAAAAAACCAAAACGCGTTTTATAACATACGCATGTGCAGAATGATTCCAAACTAGTTCTGAGTGAAACCAAAACAAAGTTACTACTTTATGAATTTTTAAAAATGATGTTGCCGTCTCTGTCTTACTTGTACTGACTTAAGCCTAGTACTCATAACTGCGAAATTCGCATTTTTTTGACATTGCGTTGACAATCTGACGTTTTATGCGTGTATCAAACGTCAAATTGTCGAAGCAATGTCAAAAAAATGCGAATTTCGCAGTTATGAGTATTAGGCTTTATGGCGATACTACGGAATAACGTCACATAAGATGGGTTCCGCTAGCTCACTCCGTGCAGTCCGAGTGACTCCATTCGCACTCCAGCCGTTCGGGTTAAGGTTCGGGTATTGCTTTTTACCGTATTAGGGGTGACTCTATTAGCTCTGTTCACTTGACAGTGCTTCGACAATTTGACGTTTGATTCACGCATAAAACGTCAATTTGTCGAAGCAATGTCAAAAAAGCGCGAATTTCGCAGTTATGAGTACCAGGTAGAGGTGGAGAACTATCGATCGTTGGCACCATCGATAGTAATCGATAGTTAAGGCTCATACCATCGATAACTATCGATAGTATTCGATAGTTTTACAAAATTAGATTATTTCAATTTTATACCTATTAAATTTGGGTGGACGAAGAAAAACTAAAATACCTATATGATATCCCTATTCATTAACTACTGAAGTGAAGATGAAAAATGAAAACATGCCAGTTTCTCATTAGCATGTCACCCCCGGGCCCCGGGTTAAGCATAACTCCAGGGTAAAAATTGCAACTGGACACGTTTACCCAGAACTTCCCGGAGGTGACTCGCTGAGAAACCAACCCTAAAAAATTCCAATACTCTGAAATAATTTCCTTACAATTTTCATCAAAATAAACGAAACGGTGCAGTTCGCACTACCTATGTGACGCACTCGCTCGCACTACTCGGATACGAGACTAAAAGCGTTTTCTATTAGCAGAACCAGTGCATTTTTCTGTTTCTGTGCTTTTCTTTCACATGCTGATTGAATCAAACACAAACAAATACACTCACTACGCACTGAGAGCCGCTATAAGCTACTATCGAAAACTATCGATAGTCGGTAGGGAACAATCGATAGCGCTTCGATAGTTGATACTATCGATAGTGCTCGATAGTACAATCGATAGTTCTCCACCACTAGTACCAGGCTTTAGTCGTTTTACTCCTGAAACTTTGATAATTTTGAAGATATTTATTCAAATTTGTTTGCACAGATCAGTTCCAAACGGTCTGAGGTATCAATTCAGAAAAAAGGACAAGTTCCAAGGTTCCTAAAGTTCATAGGTTGTCTGGTAATGGGTAACTTGATGACGCATCTGAGGTGCCTTTTGGAGATGTGCAAATATGTTGAGGCATACTTGCCGTCCTATTTTTGATTGGTTCTACAACATCCTATACAGGGTGAGGCGGTCCATTTAACTTGGGACAATCTAATATATCTCGAAAACAGCGCGTTTTTGTAAAAAAAAGTTGAATTAAAAGTTGACAGAATCAAAAATCACTAAAATCTGTTTTTTTTTAAAGATAAAAGTCAAAATGACATTATGTTGGCAATACAATGTAAAATTGTCAATCTCTTTCAAATTTTTTATGTAGAAAAGGCTTGTGTTGCCTGCCAACATAGTTACTAAATTTTTGACTTGGGGAATTATCTTAAAAAAAAAAACAGACTTTACTCACATTTTCTTACCCCCGTGACACCATTGTAACTTTGTTTCATTTTTTTTTTTCTTTTTCAAAAACGCGCAGTTTTTGAGATATTCAGACTGTCTCAAGTTAAATGGAACACCCTGTATATTCATCTCAAGAATGACCAAGAATATGGCGGCGGGAGCGTGGCTTACGCTTACCTCTAGATTTCTATTTGAAATTAGCAAGAATATGGCGGCGAAACGTACATGTCGCCACTGTATGTGAAGGTTTATTGAGTCACTGTAAGACACTGTACAGTGACTGAATAAAATACAATGATGACAATTTGTCATTCGATTTTTGATTGGTTCTTTAAAATCCTATATTCAAATCATTGAGGTAGATTTTTACCTACTGCAAGGAGAATCTAATACGCTCTACTCTAGGAGTGCTTATCGGCCTCGTTTTTGGTAATCACCGTCATATTGGTGTGCTACCATTGCCGACGTCATAACTAAGTCGTCAGCTGCTTAAACAGCCTACGTCAAAGCGAGAAATAACATGCTGCCTACGTCACAACTGGTATTTTGGCGTGTTGAGGCTGAGGAAGGGGGAGATTTGCTATACACAGGCCTTATGAGAATAGGCCATCCTGTAGTAGTAGTGTGTATCATCCTTGAAACTATTGTGCGTTCGGTATTTTGATCTGAGTTCTCCGAGCATGAATTTACCGTTCGTTCATTTTAAAAGTGTACTCGGTGCAGACTCATTCACGTTCGTTTAAAAAAATTCGAGCCCTCCGATACAGCGTTTAACTGCTCTGTGTGCTCGCTGGTCACGTGATTAGAGTTCCGCTCTGCTCTTTGAGGAAAATACCGAAATAGGATTGCTTATTGAGCTGAAAGTGTCTGCCATCATGTCAGTCGCATCGCAGATCCTGAACTCTTGCGTAAAATACATTATCTGAGTTTGAAACACTATGGATGTGTGGGTCAAAAAAACGAATTCCTAAACGTTAAAATCTTGTTAAAATCACCTTTTCTTTTCTACATATAAATTTGACGAAAAAATTAAATAAAAAGCACAGCCTGAATAGCAACCACTCCATAGAGGTCTGCGAGTGACGACACCACTATTAGCTGCTGATGTGGTGACGTCAGTCGCAGACCCTGTTGACTCGAGAATTGACGAACGTACACCTTTTTAGGATAAGTAATCCCTGTTAGTTTACAATCGATTTTAAATAAAGCCTGCCTGTTAGTTTACGATTCTTAGGCGAGACCCCCAGACCCCTGATTGTTGCCACCTCAGGTTGCCACTATGTCAAAATATTTGATAGCTTTCTTTTGGTTTCCCTCAGAACTAGTTCGGAATCATTCTGCACATGTGCATATTATAAAACGCGTTTTCGTTTTTTCAGAATCGTTATCGAGCTGTGTTGACAGTGTTTTGGTTTATCTAAAACTATTTAAGAACAATTCTGGGATTGTTCTGGAACGGTTCAATCAGTTCTTGCTCTAAAGGAGGAACTGTTTTAGAATTTTGTGATTTGCGGCGTATTTTGGTTTTTTGGTTCCGACAGTCCTCTATTGGTTTTCGTGCGCAAGCAGTTCTGCGCAATCCTAAAACCGTTCCAAATTTTGAACCAAAACAAAGCTAGGGGGTTAGATCACTCAATTCAGCTGTCAAAATGTAAACAGAATTAAGCCTAGTACTCATAACTGCGAAATTCGCATTTTTTTAACATTACTTCGACAAATTTGAAGCTTGATACACGCATAAAACGTCAAATTGTCAACGCAATGTCAAAAAAATGCGAATTTCACAGTTATGAGTACTAGGTTCAAAGCTTAGTACTCCAGCTGTTTTTGGGTGCATTACTTTTTTCACCAATGAGCAGTCTATCCTTATCCATTACATAGGAAATTCAATGAAGCATTCATAGGCTCCACGAAAAAAAAACTGCCTTTTAGTGTGCGCCGAAACTCACGCATATTTTCGGCCACGCCCACAAAAACTATAGAACATTTTCTAAAGTTTATTCGGGAAATATTTCGTAAGTTTTTCTGATCGTGTAAAGCCTAGTACTCATAACTGCGAAATTCGCATTTTTCTGACATTGCGTTGACAATCTGACGTTTTATGCGTGTATCAAACGTCAAATTGTCGAAGCAATGTCAAAAAAATGCGAATTTCGCAGTTATGAGTACTAGGCTTTAAACAGGAAAAGTTGACTTACGAAATATTCCGGCAACAATTTCGTAAGTAATTTCGTGAAGAATCTTTGCCGTGTAAAACGGCTCTTAGTTGTATTCCTTTCAAGAGTTTGAAACACTCGAGTTACTCGTTCCGGTGTTCAGTAGCCCCCGATTTATAGGGAACAGATGCGTGATGCAACAAACACTTTTCGAAAGGAATAAGCGTCTGAAGCCCCGGAGCTGTTCCGGAGCTCCTCGTAGGTGTGAAACTATTGGGCGTCTCTTGCTGTTTTATATGAGAAAAAAGGATAGAAAATGATTAGATAAGCTCTGTTTTGGTTCGAAATTTGGAACGGTTCTGTTATTGCGCAGAACTGCTTGCGCTCAAAAAATATTGGAGGACTGTTCTAATACTAATTTTGAACCGATTCGGAACCAAAAAAACGAAAACAAGCTGCTCATCACAAAATTCTAAAACAGTTCCTCCTTCAGAGCAAGAACTG